AAATTGGCCAGTTTTAATATGCAAATTTTATTATTGCTAAAAAACTTTGAACTTAGCTGTCAGTGGATACCATTTTAGTGAAAGTATTTATGCATTAAGGAAACAGTTGCTTCTCTGCTTATGTAGCTAACATGTACAAATTTTAGGGTTTTATTTGGGATTCTGAATGGATCCAAATACACTGGTACTGTTAAGGTTCCTGCTTGCATATGGTAACTGACCTTCATCTTTAGAAGCTGATACTGGGTAAATATTATTGAATATAGACATTAATGTATTGGTTATGATATTTAACTTGTATCCTAGTGATATGTGAAAGGAATAAATTTTCCAGAATATTTGTAAGGAAAAAGGACAAAGACTGCATGAGGAAAGGGGAAAGCCTATACCTGTAATGATGGTTTTCTTCTTTGATGGTTGGATAGAAACTAACTTGTTGTTAGGCAAAGTGATTTTTTCTTTGGGTTTCTTTTTGTCTGTTTGCTTGCTTGCTTGCTTCTCCTAACTGGGTGAGATAGATTTGATTGTGGTGTCAGGCAATCCCTTGTTGAGTTTATACAAGACCTATATCTGTGTCTGCAGGTGTCCCAGTGGAATTCAGAGCTGTACATCTCTCTGACATATGTCAGCTTCTTCAAATATAAAGGAAAATATTTTCTTTCTTCAAGGAGAATTTTGACATTCTTTTCATGTTTGGTCATTGTGAAATGCTTGTCAGGGCTTTAAGTTTCATGGAAATATACCACACCTTCCTTCCCACAGAGGTTATATGAACCATCAACATTCTGGAATTCCTATCTTGTCAGTTATATCAAAATTCTCTTTACAATCAAGAATTGTATTTTATTATTTTTCTTCTCAGGATCTAGGAAACAAACAAGTGAAATATTTCTCTAAATTCTTTGACACCTTATTGTGTTCCATACACTGAATTCAAAATATATTTTTCTACACTCTTTTATTGTCAATTTTTTGTGTTCCTGGCTGCTTCTCTGGTGGAAAGATCAGCATTTGTGTCTGTCATGTGCATCAAAATTGCAGCACTCTGCCTTGTTATCACTGCGCTGTTGGCTTCATCTGTCCTTTTTTTTCATAGAGTCACCAGCAGCTACTGCTCACCTTCTTGCAAGAACTTCTATCAGATATCCCCTGAATTTTTCTGTTACATATTGCCAGACAAGTTCCTCAGTAGGTGTCTTGCTGGGAGTCTAACACCTATTCAGTAAGTTGAGTGTTTACCAGATTTTTTTCCCAGTTAGTCACAAATGTTTTCTACATTTTCCTGGTGCTATTTTCTCCGTGGTCCCTGCCAGTGCCTCCCAAAGCAGTCTTTCAAGAAATATTAATTTAGTCTCACTGTACACAGAATTGCATTTCAATCACATGAATATAATGTGATTATGCTGCATTTCTGCTGGCATGCACCACATGCACCCAGCATCTCTTTCAACTGACAAGTAAAGGAAAACACAGCACACCCAGCAATGGCCACAGCTGTTGTTCCCTCCTCATTCACACGCATGGCACACAACTTCTCCTCTAGAGATGTGATCATAGCTGCCCTCTGATTTACCTTTCTAGATGGAGATACTCCAAATTTCAACACAAAATTTCTCTACACTTGGTTTTCTGCCATTACAACACACTCCAAACAACTGATATGATCAATGGCCCTCAAGGCTCAAGCTTTAAATTCTTCTAAGGGAAACGGTACACATCTCTCTTAAGTAGGCTATTCAGAATCATAGAAACCCAGACCATGAAAAGAAACAAACCAAAACAAAACTCTCCAAATGCCTTAATTTCCAAGAGCAGTAATTGCAGGTAGGGTCTCAAAAAATCATTTTAGCTATTCACCCATCATAGTCATTAATTATGTCCTTTGCTGTTGAGAGACTTCACTGTAAGTCAAGTGATAACATCTGCTAAGACCTGATATTGCCATTTCCAGGTTTGTAATACATAAGTAAACAGCAGCAGCCTAATACAGGATTTTTGACACGTGTTTTAAACACAGAGGTTTATTTCTTTTAGCCTTATACTGTCCCACTCTAAGTTGGTTTATGTATTAGTGAGTCTTTATATATTCTTGAGGTATTCTTTTTAATCCTTAGGCTTGTTGGAGTCTCTGCTTACTCTGACATTTTGTATCTTTATAGCAATACAATAAAGATCAAGGCTTAAAAATATGGCACATATTTTTTAACAAGAGTATAAGCAAACAATAAAGCAGGTAATAAGGAATATGCATACATCAAGACCAGAAGGTCTGTGCTCCCATACAGTCACATCAAAGATGGTCCATCGGTTTTCTCTCAACAGGAAGGCAGCAATAAAGATACCCAGAATGAGAAAACAAAGATGATGGGCAGCAGCCTTGCCTAAGAATTAGGGAGGATGAAAATGCAAAACTGAGGTCATAGTCATGCCATGACATCTTGACTCCCAGGGGTCATAAAATAGCTTGTCAAAATTATGGTTTGTTATGCCTGATCAAGACAAACCTAAAAGGCATCCCATGGACTCGCGAGCTTCTGTCCCCTGTCCTCTGTGTCACACACATCCATACACACAGAGCCATGAGCAGACCACACACGCACCTATCTTGGTGCTTGTGACCATGAGTGAACATGTGAAATAGGAGTGAATGAGTGCAAGTGACTGAAATCAGTTTAATTTAAAATAAATATAAGCATCCTCTTCCACAGTCTTGAACTTTATAACACTGATTCTTATACTTCCAAGGCTGCCATTTATTAATGAGCCATGTCATGAGAATTTTCAGAATACTAACACAGAAAAAGCATTCCAATGTACCCATGGGGCTTCACGTCCTTGTGGGGAGGACTATCAACTGCAGTGAAGGCAACAGTACAAGGTGGGACTAGAAGGTCTTTTTCTGCTCTCTGTTTTCGGGAAGTGTATTCCTTTCCCCCCACAAAACCTCCACTTTCTCCTGCCTCTTTCCTGGGAACCCAGATAAGGCAGCTCTGCTCTGTTTTAGCACTTTTCCAAGCAGATGTAGTAAATCCATTAGCTGCTACTGGGTGGAAGCACAGTTGTCTTCTCAGCCCTCTGCCTTTCCTCAGCTGGGGCACAGGAGGCATGTACTAGCATTGCCCCATGGAGAAAGAAAAACTGGCTGGCAGAGGCAGAACAGAGCACAGCTCCTCTGGACTACACAGGATAATGCAAAATATACATCTGTTTTATAATACTGTAGTATCTTAGTACTCAATCACTTTGACCCCAGTGGCAACATGATATTTAGAAGGATAGTTTATCATACTGTTGATAATTACTCATCACTGCCATCATTGCTAGATGATTAAAAGGAATACATTTGTCTAGTTTATGTCCAAGATGAGCATTCTCACATCCTGGGAGTCAGTGGTCCATTCATTCCTCCAGAAGCAGTGAATTGAGTGTTGAGTAATCTGTCCTTTGAAACGTGTAAAGAAGCTGTTAAGAGAACACAAAATATGTTTAGCCAGCAATACCAGCTGGATGTGAGCCCATCCAGGACATACTCTGCTCAGCTGACAGCTGTTACCAGACCCACATGAGGGTTAGTCTCTAACTCTCTCATGTCTCATTCTGCCTGTCATCAACATCTTTGTTTCACTCTGTAGGAGGGAAGAAAAAAGATATGACATGGGGACAATGCAGCACCTGGTCGGTACAGAGCTAGGGGGGATTTGCAGGGTGGCAGGTATTTAATATGATATGCACACCACGTTAGACAAGCGGTAGGAAGTTCTGGTTATGCCATAAATTGCATCCTCTCCCCAAAGAGTAAATTACTTTCTGGTCATTCCATCTGTCGGTCCTCTTCCTCTCAGAAGAAAACTTTTTGTTTTCTTTTTTTTTTTTCCATTCTTTGTCTATTGTAAGAATCAGTCTTGTGACTGGTACATGTCTTATGTGAAAATTGATTCAAACGTGTCTGTTGCTGCAACAGGAGAAAGTCCTGGTGTCTGCCACAAGAGGGTAAGTGGAGATGGAGATTGGATAGCAGAGCGTGGCAGCACAGGGCAACAACAGCTGGACAATGCACAAGGGGAAACATTACTAGGTGCCCCATCTGTACTCTGGGTGAGTACACTGGCATTTAAATTCCTCCCATAGCAAGTGGGTGTTGAAGGGTAAAAGACCTTTAGTGTTGTAGAGCCAGAACATTTTTTAAACATCCGCGTCTTTAAATCTTCTTTTTGGAAGTCAACATTATATCTTACAGGGTTAATAATAAACATGCTTTACAAAACCCTAAATTTGCTTTTCAACTCAGATCAGGAATGTGAAAAGCCTATTTTGCTGTCAGCAAAAATCAATGCCAGCCTTCAAAGGAACAAGTAGTAGCCTTGTTGTAAGGTGATGATCTAAGGCAAGCCAAGCTTTCTAGAGAGAGATACAAGCTTTTGATAAACCAAATAACACAGTTAGTCCATAGACATGCTTTGGGACTCACAAAGATCTCCAGAGCAGAAGGTCAGACATGAACATGATCTTGGGTAGCCAAAAGCCTGTCGCTTCCCCTAGTCACATCCTTTGGTCTAGCTAAGGCTGTTTCCTCTCCCTCATCGGCCTGACCGAGCACGGCCGGGGTGGGAGCCCCGTCCCGAGTGGCTCAGCCCGGGACTGGAGGGCGCTGCGCTGCCGCCCCACGGCGGCCCGGCCGGTGCCACACCGCTGCCCTGCGCCCGGGCGGGGAGCGCCGCGGGGAGCCCGCCCGCCTGGCTCAGCCGCCGCTGTGCAGAATAAAAGGCATCATCCCGCGGAGCCCGTCCCCAGCGCCCTCTCCTCCCGGGAAGGCGGCGGGAGCCCGGCCCGGCTGTGTCACAGCGCCGCATCGCTCGGTCCCCCCTGTCCGTGTGGCGCTCACACGCCTCCCCGGCCCGCAGCGCCCGCGGGCGCCGGCGCCTCCCGGAGGCCGCCCGGGCTGCGGCGGTGACGGGGGCTCCGAGCCCCTCGCCCCGCCGCCCCCTCCCCTTCCCCGNNNNCTCCGCACCGCGCTCCGCACCGCGCTCAGACCCCGCCGCCGGGAGCCGCCGCCGCGGGGCGCAGCAGGTACCGTGCCGGGGGAGCCGCCGCCGCTGGGGCCGGGCTGCACCTGCGGGGCCGGGCGTTGAGATGGGATCCCCGCTCGGACAGGGGCGATGGGAGCGGGGCCGCGGGCGGGCCTGGCCCCGGCGGCTCCTGAGGGGTGGCCGCCGGTGCGGAGCGCAGGGACCGTCGGGGCTCTGGCGGCGGCCGCCGCGGTGCTGCAGAAGGGGGGCTGCGCTCGGGGCACCCTGCGGTGTCCCAGCCTCTGGGTCGGCGGGCAGGGCGCTGGCGGCCGCCCGGGCGGGCTGCGCTCCCTCCGTTCCCACCGAGCGGCTCGACAATAGCGGGAAATGCCCGAGTTATCCTCCCTCACACCTATCATTCCCAATATTTAATGGCTTTGGAGTTTATATGGGAAAAGGTATAAAATTCTGGCCCCACTTTTCATGGAGATGAGGTAAGAAAACCTTCCAGGGACTCGCCATGGGGAAGAGCATCCTGGCAAATTCCCACAGGGACAGTTTCTCAGGTGGGAAATAGCATTAATCTTGCATGGATCTCTGTTTTCTCGGTGGAACAAAGTCACAAGGGTTTTTCCAAGAGTAGCATATACAACTGAGTCTGTAATGTATGATTTCCTATTAGATAATACGATTTAATCCTCTGTGTGCTTGGCCATCCCACTGTCGGTCTCCTCAACCCCCTCTGTAAAAGCTCCCAGAGAAGTAGGTCAGTACCTCCAGATGATGTTTCTATTAGGCGCTGGTGAGTTTCTGCGCTGCTGGCTGACTAGAAGGCAGCATTGTGACCCTTCCGTTTATGCACATTCTGAATGAGCCGAGCTTCAATTATTCATTCTGATGCTATTGCAACCTTCTGCAGTTTCTCTTCTCCAGGGACACCATGTGTAACAAGAGTTTGAAACACACCAGTGAGGCTGCAATCCTATCTTGGCATATGGCAGCTGTTTCCTTGTCTGGCCATTTTTAAGGGTTAATTTGTAGCACTAGGAAGTATGTCAAGGAAAAATGAAGATTCCCAATAGAGCAGCATTACCCTGTGCATTCCTTCTGTTTCCCTCTAAAAAGCTATAATTCAAAGTGCTGAATGGTTCATGGGCTAGGCTCTACAAATGAGTTTTGTATTTTTCATCTGAAGAAGCAATGCCTTCAGAGGGCATTTGGTTACCATAATGGAGAACCTATGGGTTCGATATAGAATTGGTTTAAATCTGACAATCTGCTGGTGTTATAGACATTTGCTCTTTTGTAGGTGAAGAAACAGATGCAGAAATAAAATACCTTGGAACCTGAGATTTGGCGCCAAAACTCGGAACCCTGTTGTTATTTTTGTTTTAGTTGTGTTGTTGATGTTATTTATATTTTACTTGTGTAATCATCTATCCATTGTGCTGTGCTCTCCATTCATAAACTGTGAACTATTCATGTTCTCCAAATACAGAAGGCTGGGTGGGCCCACAATGGCAGCAGCTATACTTGTGAAAAAACAGGATAACTATCCTGTGACCTGTAGTCATGTAGTGCATGATAGCTTTTATAGTCTCCATTTTAATAAAAGCTGTATTTCGGAAGAGCAGCAAGGCTGCCTGTTCATCACCAGCTCTTTGAAGACTAGTATAAAACAACCTATAACCTTTTGTGTAAAGTAACCTAGATAAACACAGGCACACAGAGAAAAATTATATGTCAAAGGTGTAAAGAGACAAGATAGTTTGAACCTTCTGTGCAGAGCACTCTGTAATACAGAGACCAAAAGAAAAAGAGGCCAGTGCTAGCAGAAAATGGACAGACAGTGAGCCTTTGAGTGATTACTGTCATTGTGCCAGAATTTCACCCATTCTTATGGTTAGTTATAGCCAGAAAGCATTGAAATTAACTGATACTGGTAGTGACAGAAGACTTCTAAGGAGTTGAGTACCTCTGAGAATATAATATTTTCAGCTGAGAAATGTCTCCCTCCAAGAGATACTCAACTCTGCATTGACTTTTAAGCAAAAGAATAGAGAAAAAAATAGAGTTTAAAATTGCTATGGTCTTGGGCTTGCTGAAGTCTAGGGCTTTGTTATCAGCATCTGAGGTCAGATGTTAGGATTTGGTGGGTTTTACTCCTGAACTCTTCCATGCAGCTATCTTTTTAAATCACCAAAGTATGAAGCATGCATTCTACTCCAAGGTACACAGTTAAGGAAAATAATGTTTCACTGAATTACAGTTTACTGACCAAACTATAGGGATGAGGTTCTTTGAACTGTCTTGGGGGACACATTAAGGCTTGGCAATTTGATAGTTCATCTGACAATGTTTGAAATACTGGCTCCAGTTTTCACCCAGTAGGAATTAAAAGCCTCTTACTTCTCCTTTGGCACTCAGAAATTTAGTATAAATCCCATTGGCCATCCAACCCAAGTGGAAGTAAAGTCAGGACTTTGTTTTTCCTTTCAGCTTTTCTGTACCTTTTGCTTTGACCCTCTCCTAGATAAGGAAATTTGTGTGGTGTTCAAATTAGATAAGCCAATACTACACAAATGCTGTGCTGCTGGTGCTCTGTGAATACCAAGTGTACCCCTGGGTTCTTGTCCCTGTAAAGCTTCTCTCTAGTTGCATGTTTTCTCCAGACAGGTTAGAGAAGAAAGGAGGAATTCTTGCTGCATCTAATCAAAGGTCTGAGGTTTCCAGCAGAGGCAGCACTGCCAGAATCAGATGATCACAGAGCAAGCAGTAAGTGACTACTCCAGGGGCTAATAATTGATTACTAGGGCCCCACTGGGAAACAGGGAAAAATTATAAAGCCCTATTCCTCCCTCTTTACCCTCCAGCTGGTTAATTTGCACCATGCATGTTTTCTGCTGTGCCAGGGCCTCAGCCACTGTGCCAGGAAAACTGTCCATATTGGATTAAGGAATTTGGGGGCTCTGTGGTAATGACTACTGGAATAAGAGTCAGGGCTAGACGAGAGAGTTAAGCCTCTGTTGTCAGGAGGAATACCAGATCATCTTTATTCCGATGTACACAAAGGCTCACTGTCTGTGATGTGCCTGCTTATGACTGTCATGGCTGGTGTTTAAGCTCCGAGGAAAAAATCCTGCAGTCATTGGTCAAGAGCAGATGCTAAGGAAATGTTCAGTCCATTGAAATCAACCAGCTGCCTCAGTACTGCCCTTGAAGTGTATGCTGATGTTGTAACTACAGTGAATGTAAAAAATTAGGGCATTTCTATCATACCCTTAAATCTATTAAGAGAAATGGTCACATCTTTCCCAATAATTTTGTCAGTATTCCAGCCGGTTCTCACAGAATTGGCTTCTGTTCAGTTTACGTATTAAAGGCTATTTGTAGAACAAGAGTGAGAGATTTTGGGTTTTGGGTATTTTTAATGTAAAAGTTGAGATTCTTGACTATGGTTAGCACATTAATGCAAATATTTGCTTTGGTGAGGCATGGAGCATAGCTGGTAAAGGAGGCTATAAACTGGGTAAACATGATTATCTGAACAGGCAGATCTTCTTTAAATATCAGAAGATTCAGAGCTCAAAATATGTATGCTTTTAGTATGTGCCAGTCCTTCAGAGAGGCCACAAGCTGCTAAACGTTGACACAGTAGCTGCATTGGGGTGACCTGGATCTGCTTTTATTCAGTGTTTGCTTAGAGGACCTAGATGGTGATATAAGGAGTGGGTATATCACATTTTTCAGGGATATAAAACTGTGACACTTGAACTATGCAGGAGGAAAATAGCAGAATTCAAAATTTTTCCAATAATTTGGAAGACCTTCTAGGAAAATACCTGAATTAAATTCAGTAGGGATAAATACAAGGCACTACAATAAGGCAGAAATTACTGACTAAATAAGCACACGGCAGAAGTAAATTGCTAGGTTGCAACTCCGCAGAAAAGAATATGTTATGATAGATCACAAGCTGAATATGAGTCAATGTCATGCTGTTGCAAATAAAGGCAAACGTCTTGCTAGGATATGTAAAAGACATGGAAGTCTGGAAGACGTGAAGCAATCCTTTTGCTCTGAGGCCAAAGCCTCAGCTTGGGGGCTGTGCAAAGTTTCGGTTTTTGCACTTTGAGACAGGTGCAATTCAATCAGAGGGAGTCCAGAGGAGGGCGGTAGGACTCATCACAGGTCAGAAAAATGTGACATGCAAGATGATTTGAAATAACTGTAATTTTTAGACCAGAAATTTGACAGGGGAATATAACAGTCTTCAGATAAAAAATAGAAGGGGGAATGATCTTTTCTTCAGGCTCATGGTGGATGGAGCAGAAAGCAAGAAGCAGCAGAAAGTAAGATTATTTTAAACTAAGAGAATAATTTTCTAGGACATAGGATAATAAAAACAGTTGGATATTTGATATAGGGAGGTTCTGGAGACATTTTAAGCACAGGTTAGACAATCATCGGTCAAGAATCAAATAAGGCTAGTGATTCTGTAATGGGAAAGCACCTTGGACTGTTCAGTGTCTTAAGTTCTCCTCTAGACCATTCTTCTAGCATTTGTAGATCATTTCATGATCATTTCATGTCAATGAAATAAAAGAAGTCTGCTGGCCCTGTTTTGATGTTTGTCTGATATTCAGGGGTAGCACAGCACTAAGACCACAGATCAGCTCTTTCTGAAAAGAGCCTGAAAGAGGAGTAAGAGCTTTCTAGAAGAGAGTTAGAAGAGGTCTCTCTTTTTAGAAGAAAGGGGAAGGAATGGAACATTCTGATTTCCCCGGAGCAGATGCTTGATCAAGTTTATGAATGCTGAAAACAATGCCATGGAAGAAGAAAAATTAATCAAGATTAGCAGTTAATAAAATTATCTGAACTGAAAATACAAACTCTTCTAGTATTTTATTCCTTGAATGAAAGGCTGTAGTCCAAAAATGGTTTTTAGAGGTAAAATGAAACAAAATAATGGAATTCAGAAAAGGAATAAAATAAATCATAGTCCTATGATTTATATTTTTAGGCATTTATCCAGGGAGAGAAAATCTAGGTCCTGTAGTA